ATCTATTTCGTATTTCGTATCCTGTATTTCATATTTCATATCTCTTATATATTGTTGTTATTTTTATTACGCATTTTTATGGTACTAATATATCATCTCCTATTGCTTTTTTGAGCCGAGGGTCTCCTGGAAACAGCCTCCCTACCCTTCGGGGTAGGAGTAAGGTCTGCGTACATATTACCCTCCCCAGACCCCACTTGTGGGATTATACTGGGTTGTTGTGTTGTTGTGTAAAAAGTGGCTAATATTTTAGTTTTAATAACTCCTTTTCTTGCACCCATGGATTCTATCAACAAAGTGAGTGAAAACCATCATAGAAGGTTCAAATTCTAGTAGAGACAAAAAGTGCTAAGTGATATCTTTCTATCTTCCTAAGCTTTGATGGGGGCAGTGTTATTCGCTACTATGCTGGTGGAGGTAGCAAAGAGTGGTAGAATAGTAGAGTTGCAGAAGTTAACCAAACACCACCGTTATCACAGAATAAGCAGTCTTTTTGTGTAGGAAACTGAGCTCACTCCTTTCTTTCAGTAGCTGTTGAAGTGACACTTATCAGCGGTGGATTAGTGTCACAATTTCTTGGTGCTGTGCCAAGTTGTTAAAGCACCATTAATAACTCCTAAGTTTTCTTTTGCTATATTTTTGATTTTGTTTGTAAAGCCATTTTATATTTGGAATATCTGTTTATAGGATACAAAAGAAGGGCATTGGTGGATGCAATTTGGGAATGATTATGTCTTAGGGTATTGGCCATCATTCTTGTTCTCCTACTTGGCAGACAGTGCTTCAATGATTGAATGGGGTGGGGAGGTAGTGAATTCAGAACCAGATGGTCAACATACTGCAACACAAATGGGCAGTGGTCATTTCCCTGAAGAAGGTTTTGGCAAGTCAAGTTATTTCAGGAACATTCAAGTGGTTGATAGCTCCAACAATCTCAAGTCTCCCAAAAGTCTTGGCTCCTTTACTGACCAATCGAATTGCTATGATGTTCAAACAGGAGATAATGATGATTGGGGTCATTACTTTTACTATGGAGGTCCTGGTAGAAACCCCAATTGCCCATGAAGTTTAAAACCCCACTGTAAAATATAGTATAGTCTGATGCTTTATCTTTCATTTGTATACCCCTATCTTGATTCTTATTTTATAGGTTTGAGTCAGTGAGTGTGAACTTTTCTGTAGTGGGAAGTTTTGACATTTTTAAAGGTTCTCTCCATGCTAGTGAATGGGGGAAGTGTGGCCTGGTTTCTCAAAAAGCTAGAAAGAAACAAAGGCCTTTTGTCATCTTCTTGTATTTTATTGTTTGTTTACAAGATACTCCATACTTTGGAGTATCTAGTCTAATGGACAGTGAATTGTAGGCTTTTATTCATTGTATGCCACCAAGAAGTGATTAATAGCCTGTTTGGCCAACCGCAAAAATTAGTTTATTTTGAGAATTGTTTTTTCTCGAAAGTGCTTTTTTTTTAAAAGTACTTTTGGTGAGAAACAGTTTTTGTTAAGCTAATTAATTTGAAAAACACTTCTATTTCTTTTCGAAAATATTTTTTTTTCGTCCAAAAGATTGGTCAAACAAAAAGGCACTTTTTTTTTTTTTTTTATAAAAGGAGTGGAGAAGCATGGCCAAACGTGCTATAACTGTTTTGGACTCAAAATACATAAATAGGTGAAAAAGAAAAAGATGACATTTTTATATATAGTGCCACAATACTTGGCGCTATATATTAACGTTAACTGTGCCGTTAATGTATGACGTCAAGTATTGTGGCACACCAAGTATAGTGCCAAAATACCTGGCGCTATACCCCTTTCAGATAGCATCTCATTTGACGCAGATTACGAGGTCCACTATAGTGTGGTACTCTATATACAAGGACAGGTTTGCATTAGTATTACCTATTTTTAACTATTTATCCAAATAAATTTATTTCTTTTTGTAACATTTACAAAAAGATACAATGTATCGCCACATTTCAAATTATTTACATCCACGACCTACAATGTTACTATGTCTTTTGATCAACAAAGTGTTCTTCTGTGTAAAAGGAAAAAAAATAACAATAAGCACTCATGTAATATGACGTAAATGAGACACACATTTTACATTACAAAATTATGTACAAATATTAATTTGAATAATATTTCATGTACAATGCATACATTTTTTATGTTACAAAATTCTATACAAATATTAATTTGAATAATATTTTCATGTACCGGATTGGTAATTATATTCGTAACTAAATATATTAAAATAAAATTATTAATATTAAATTATACTTAAAAAATAGATACTCCTTTTATTCCAATTTATGTTATAGCATATTTGACTGAGTATAAAATTTAAGAAAGAAATGAAGATTTAAAGATTTTGTAGTCCTTAATAAGCCATAATATTTGTGTGGCTATAATTATTTTTCAAAAATGGTATTAAATGTGCCAAAACATTTATATTACTATTGAAGTTTTTAATTGAGGGAAGAATTAAAAATTTATATTTATTTATTTCTAAATTTAGATATAAATCATTTTTTAGAACGGATAAAAAAAATAGATTCTCGTAAACTAAATGAGATAAGAGTGCATTATTTTGTTGCCACTCCTTCCATTAAACTGAAGTTTGCAATGAACGAAATGGAAGATCAGAACACAAATTATTATTATTATTATTATTATTATTATTATTATTATTATTATTATTATTATTATTATTATTATTATTATTATTATTAATTTTTTTTTTTATTTTTTTTAAAGCCAAGTTAAAAATCAAACTTGATGGCTAACAACAAACTTCCTTCAATATTTGGGATAAATTGTCAACCTACATATTGAAGTAGACGTGCTTTGGGTTGAAGTTATTGGTGACTAAATTAAATGGCCCTTTGCGACCAAAGGATGCGAAATTGACAATTGCAAGCCATCATAAATGAATCAATATTTATATTAAGTCAAATGAAAATTGAGGTAAAATATATACTATTAAGTAATCTTGATTAAGTAATAAAAAATAAGAAGACATATATCATACATTGATTAATTTGTAAGAACATCTGAGTTGTAGATTTTTTTCATTTATAGACATCATATGGTTGATTCAATTTTTTGGTGTCGAATCTATCTTAACTCAATATTTTCGATGAAAAACATAAATTTACGTGTAAAACTATTAAAATGTAAAAAAAATAGAGATGATCTTATAATTTTTTTAAAAGGTTAATATTGTAAATATTAAAGATTTCATCCGAAAAGCTTAAATCATGAATCCGTCCCTATGGTTAATTTTTAAGCACGGTAAATAGAACATGAAAGAAAGAATTATAACCACCTAAAAAAATCATTATAGCAATCCTAGCCAGATGAAATCAAATTTTGGTTGGAAATTAATTTAAAGCAATATATTTGTTATTCTTTTTTTACAGAAATGATGAATATACTGTTTAATCTAAAATTTGATTAGTAGACTAAAATAATCAAATCTATAAAATTAGGCCGCAAGTATATTTCAAACTTCATATAAATAGACCTCTGTGAATTGAAAGCAAATAATTAAGAATGAGAATAATATGTAAACAATAAAGGAGTAAAGAGCTTCTTATGATGTTTAGCGTAAAACTTTGAATTCGTAACTGTTCAGGAATTAATACCGAATCCCGAATATTTTCGAACTGATTAATTTACCTTATATGGACACTTTATGACTAGGCGCTATATATAAAACTTAATGTATAGCGCCAGGTATTATGGCGCTATATTTGGGCGTGTCAGCTTTTTCAGTATAATGCCACAATACTTGGCGCTATACATTAACGACACAGTTAACGTTAATGTATAGCGCCAAATATTGTAACACTATATATAAAAATATCATCTTTTCTTTTTCCACCTATTTATATATTTTGAGTCCAAAAGAACGGTCAGGGAATGACTTGAAAAAAGGCATTTTGGAAAGATGCAACATGTGCTGCAATGAGTGGCATTACTTTTTAGATTTGACTAATGCACTGTGACAATGTAAGATAATTTTATATTATCAGTGCATTTTAGTCTTTTTTTTTTATAGTAAATTACCCATCTTATTTTGTAAGTTATTATTATTACTGATGATTATATAAATCCTTTTATACCGGAAATTATATAAAAGTTAAAATTAATCATCATTGGCCTGTCTTAAGAACCCTACCATTACAACTGCCATATGCTAAACATAATTGAGCATCCAGCAAGTTGGGCATCCAAACTCCTACGATATTCTTAGATCCTTGTCATATTTCATTCTGTATCTGTAGGTAAGAGGTTTGAAAAAGTTGTAATCTTTAGTTCTCTGTAGGGATATTTTCTGTTGTTCTTTGTACCGTGTATTTCAAATGGGATAAGTATTTTCTTTAGGATTAGAACATAGCTTATCCTCGACAAGAGATAACAACGTCTCTTCCTCTTTCAAGTGCTTTCTTATAATCTTTGACTCCAATACCATAGCCAACATGTAATTAACCTTAAATACCATCAGAAGGATATTAAACATACCTTAGGCAATAGATAAATTTTCGAACCCCGAACTTAAGTTAGCTCACCATTATCCTTATTCATATCACAACATCTTAAATGAGTTATTCTTCATCTTTGGCTAACTTTGATGTTGGATTATAATGTATATTTTTGAAATTTGTTTGGAGCCTTTGGGGAACTGTTTGGGAGGGTTTGGAGAGTGTGAGGAAGGAAGGAGGTCGAAAAATGAACAAATCTCATCCCAAAAACGAGATAAAAACAAGTGAAGGTCGGCCACCGATCAAGTGGGTCCCATAGGGTCTTCCTGCGCAGTCTTGCCAAAACGTGAATATCTCTCTACTCCGAGGTCGTATTGACAAATGGTTTAATGCTTTAGAAACTAGACGCATAAATATTCAATTTGGTAGGTGGATCACCCCATAATTCAAAGTACACTGGAAAAAAAGCTCAGCTGCATTTGACCTAATTTTCAGCACATTTGTGAATGTAACTTGTGATGATCTTTGCTAACTTTTGTTCCACAACTCGCTTGACTTCAAAACATAATACACGACTATCATACGGCTACAATAAATCATAAAATAACCTCCTTATCATGTTAAGAACCCTAGTATCACCCCAAAAGTAAACATTATAATATTCCCAACTTGTCGACTTTGAACGAAACTTATTTTCTTCAATTCATTTAGCTTCTAAGCTTCCAATCCTATTGGTACTTGTTATCCATGATCTTTAATATTTGTGACCTCCAAGATAACACGATTAACTTACTTTATATACTTCCAAAGAGGATCTCATTCCCAAGCTTCTATCAATTGGCTTATGACGTACTCTTACGTACGAAACGTGGGGTATAACATCATTCCCCCCTTTGGAATATTCGTCCTCGAGTGTTGACTGATGCACTTATCAGTGTTATAACATATAACACTTATGAATACTTTAATAATATCCTTGCCATCTAGGCAATTGTTCAGTGAATAAATCCAAATGCCGGGGTATTCCCCTCTTTACGCCTCTTTCTCACACCACGACTTGTGGTCGAAATTCTTCCAATCTTGTAACTGTTGCTACCTTATGTCATGCAGTCTGTATGACTCTGTTCTTGTATGAGCACTTAGCGACTCTTATCTCCTTTTTCCTTCATTTTTTAGCCGATCTCCAGGCCTTACTTTGTGAACATATACAAAACTATGACAAGCTGTCCCTCTAGGCACCTATAGGTATACTGAAGTTCTTCGCTTGACATATTGTCGAGCTTACGACTACTGCCATATTTTTTTTCATAGGCTTGGTTATCTATGCTGGTAGCTTGACTACATCTAGGTAAGTTATACTATACCATAACACTTACTTCGGTTTATTACTAACGAGGTCTGCTACCCAACTCCAGGTTACTCTCTCACCGCTTATCCTATATGTATAAATCTAAGTCATTTAATGCTTCCTTATTACTGTTCATCTAAAAAATGACATCATAATCTCCTCTCATACTTTGTATCTTTTATCCATCTATTGATTACTCACCTTAATGTTGACCTATAATTTACTACTGATAACTTGAAACCTCTTACGTAATATATTGTCACAAGGGCTCACGTCTCATCGGGAACATCTACAGTGATTTGCCCGATCCACCTAGGGACGATACTATACTTCAATAATCGTATTTCATAGCATCCCAATACGATTCATCTTATGGGGGTATTCTAATCCTGTGCAATTCATGAAATCCCTTTCTCGTTAAATCATTACTCAATCAAAGGACTAAACGACATCCTCTTATCTATCACAATTACAACCTTATTCTATCAGGGCAACATTCCATCTCTTATAAATGTTCCTAGTCTTAGACTCCTCCGAGTTAATTCAAGCTATACTGAGCTTTCT